CATTTCCGTACCAATAAAACATGATATCTTGCTAAAACTGGAATCACTGTTATTGTCTTCCTTTTGTTTATATGCCGATTTTGAGACGAGTCCATCCACCACCAGCTTATAGGTGGGGCAATTTCACAGAGAGTATTTAGGAAAGTGGTGCTCACGTTTCAGGCAAACCCATCTTTTACATTCTTTGAATCGCTTCGCTTTATTTAAAATAGGTCTTTTGGATGAAACGGATCTGCGATACAGGCCGATTATACTTGTTATTAGATGCACTTGACGCCCGCATAAAAAATTAGGGATGCAAAACAGAGTCCAGCAAGTATGAGGGCTCTTGCTACTTTTATTGGACCTAGTAGTTCCCATACCATTGCTAATCAGTATCCAGTTTAACCCTTACGCTCATTTCGTACCCAATTGGGTTCAGGGGCTAAAGATGGTTTTAAATTATTTTACGCATATTTCGCCCATGAGTACACTCATGAGACATTCTAACGCAGGGGATGAAACCAGATTCCGCTCAGTTGTAACACTGTTGATCAATTAGTTGCTTTATTAACCCTGTAATTAAAGATTTGGATTCAATTAACCCTGATACAAGAAATTAGCTATTTGTATTGACTGCGCCGTAAACTTCAACTAAACTAAAAGTAAGATATTCGGTGTATATTCATGAAGAGCATCTAGATTCTGGTATTTAGAGGGTTAAAGCTAATAGTCATTTAGAAATATTGAAATCAAAATGTTGAATGATATTGGGTGGTATGAATGCTTTATGCGAAAAAAAAACAAATTCAGAAAATTATTCAGTACCGACAGAATTAAACATACACGACATTTCCTTTTTACTTTAGTAAAATGCACGGCCATACTTAGTCCAAAATCTGACCGAAATGACTAACCTCGACCAGATTGATGAAGGAAGGAGTCTAGCTGTCATCTTATCTCTCCAGTTTCTATACAAATTTCACAGGATTTCCTTAATCTCTCATATTTAACTTTCTGCAGTAGACTTGGAGATCCTTTCTGACCAGCCCGATCCGTGCGCCGCTTTCGTCCCATTTCACCTGTTGCCTCTCCCTTACAGGTGCACATCTCGTTCTTCATATTCCGTGGCAAGTTTTGCTGGGAACTCCTTGTCTTTCAGTTCCTGTTTTTCGGAGAGACGAGATCTCAAATCTTTCATTTTCTTATGTTGAAGGCGACGATGATAACCTGCTGCACAGAGCCAGACTTTACTTTCTATTCGTGTCTGTCGAGTAGTGCAGAATGGACCCATTTCGGTTTCCAGACCGACTGCAAAAAAACGACATCTCGTCGATTTTGTCCGAGGATAGGTGTTCTTCCGGTAAGAAACGTCGAAACGCCTCTTAGCAGTTCAACTGTTTCTTCTTTTATCCCTTAGAAGAGAGGTGCCCAAAAAAGTTCTAGTGTCACGTGATGTCGTGAAACAGAGCGCTAGAAGTCTCATTCAATCCACGTGATCGAATTTGGAGTGGCAAATGAAGGTCACGAGAACACAGACAGAAATCACTTTAACCCTTTCGTACTCGGCCTATATTCAAAGTACCTGGCCTAAAACACTCTCTGGTCCGGAACTACATCACATACGTACCTTTTGCAGTCAGCAAACTGTTTAGGGAAGCATTTTGAGCCATTTATGTAACTAAACAACAAAAACAACCTTTGAGCCATTTATGTAATTAAAAGAGCATGATTTAGACGGAGCCGATGGATCGGCGCGCTGAGCGTATAAGGGTTAATAACAAAAGATACTCGGAGTGGGAAGCAAGCGGGAGGAAACAGTTCCCAGGAAAGGTTTTACCGGGTCTGACGAACGACGAGACGAGACGAGAGAAGTGAGGCACGATCAAAACTCAAGATCCAAACAGTTTCCGAAGATGCGAAGGTTTGAGGCACGTCCCTAACAGGGTATCCGGAGTTCAGCAATAGTAGTGCGGGGAGATTAACCGGTGATTAAAGACTCACGGCTGAGGCGAATGGAAGACTCCAGAATGCATGACTGCTGTAAACTACTCGATTGTCTCCTCTCTGCTCGAATGCCTCAAATGTGGGGAGCAAGGAGCTATTTAAAGGAGGAAGAAGGAGGAGGGGAAGGTACCATAGTCCGATGTAAAAGATGATATGGGGTGAAAGGGGATGAACCCTCCAGGGCTGGATACAAGGCTCCCGAAGGAGTGAAAGGGGGATGAACCAAGGTGAAACCTTCAAGGTTGAGACTTGTCACTCGGGTAATTTAATCCCTTGGGTTTCCAACTGCAGCAATGTAGGCTAGCAGTGTTAATTATGCCCTGTTCTGCCATGAAGTTAGAAGTTAGTAATATTCTGATGCCAGAGTATCATTTTCCTGTCTTGTAGGATTAAATTTTCGTAGATTTTTACAATTTGTGCAACGTTCTGTCAAGTTTTATCATCGGAGGGCTTCTTGCCACAGGATATTCTTCACTTTCCTGCTGAACGGTTATAAGAATCATTCACCTTCGTACAGCACAGTATTGAAGTAAGTAATTAAATTCCGAAGAGGACAAGATTCAGTCGAAGATGACCCTCGCCTGGGTCCACCATTGGATGTAATCGCAGAGGAAATTTGTTGTGCTGCTGGAAAGTTGGTGATGGAGCGAGGCGAGGCGAGTCAAAACGGGGCAAATCATACAGTCTTCGGGCATATCGAAAGGCAATGTTCAAACCATTGTTGCACGAAAAGTTGGGACTCTCAAAAGTTTGTGCCCTCTGAATTCCCTGAATGTTGTTCGTCACACGAGTCGACATAATTTAGACCGGTTCAACGCCGATCTAGTGCATTGTTGTTCGCCGAGGATGAAACCTGGCTTCACCGCTGGGACTCAGAATCCAAGCAGCTGTCGATGCAGCGGAGACACGAGGACTCTCCTGTTATTGGCCGTCTAAGTGATGGCAACGATTTTATGGGGCCCAATGTGAGTCATGTGCATCGACTATATGCCTCCTAATAGTGCGATCTCCGGTCAGTCTTTGCTGTATTATTGTGGAGATTGCGTAGATCTATGAAGAACGCCGAATACATTTGAGGACAGATGTCATTTGTTCGACAGTGAGAAGAAATGAAAAGCAAAAGAAGATACGCCGAATGAATTTGAGGAAAGATGTCATTTGTTTGACAATACGTCCGCTCGCACAGTCTTGCTTCAATGATTCTCTGATACATTGGATTTGAAAAATTATCTCACTGCTTTATTCATTGGACTTAGCGACTCCGACTCAATGCGTCCAGTGACATTTCCTTGTTTCGATATCTTAAGGAACATCTGCATGGGATGATATTTCAGGAATATTTGAAGCGAAACTGAAGGATGGTTCGAGGGGTTCGAGAAAGAGTAGTTTGAGCCTGGCCGAGAGATGCCAAAGGGACGATGAGAGAAAAACTTCATTGTTAAGGGTGACTTAGAAAGAAAGTAACAAAAGCTTTGATTAATAAGTCACTTCATCAAGGTCAGGCCATGGACTTACTGGACAACCCTCGTATGAGGTCATCTGCGTTGATATATTTTCATTTCCCTTAGCTTTATTTTCACCTTGATAACTTCCTAGTTTACTTTTTTTCTCCACTTCATCCCTTTCGGATTTCATCTCATAGATTTCTTTACCTTGAAATTCAAGAGATTTTCTTTCAGACCTCGCACTGTCGCAGTTAGAACTAAGTTGTTTTCTTTTCGCTGAACAACTTCTTCAGTGACACTTGGTTAGAGTCAACTTCTTGTTCCAGTGCTCCCTTATCCGAGACCAGAAGCTGCACATGAAATTGCTGTACAATATCTTTGATTTTCATTCATTTCTGTTAGTTCTTGAATCCTTCTTTGGTAGCCTTGGTATGAGTGTTTGACTCACTGTTATTGGGAACTCACATTGAGATGTCTTTCATGTAGATTTATCTCCTTCGAAAGAAAGCACTTCCTCCACTCGTCGCGTATGTTATGCACATTCTTCGGAGTTGCACCCAAGTCATGTAACATTAGCTGCTTCCCCCAGCGAAAACGTAGGGAAATGAAAGAAGACAGGAAGAAGCGAACCGAATGAGGAGCAAGAAACTCGGGGCTCGTTGACGGACGGGAAGCCGCAGTCAGGCCATGGATCTTGTCCTCCAGGACGACGACTAGCAAGGAGAACTCGCATATCGTTCTTTGATGGCTGGGAAAGGTGGCCTACGAATAGAGATAGGGTTCTATTAGTCTTTGAGAGGCATTTAAGCTGCGAACACAATCTCACTGTCGAGATTTTACCGAATTCTTCAACATAATGCTCGTTAAATGCTCTCGATTGCACAAGGAATGACACACAGGATGGGAAATCGAAATTCCGTCCTTTGACGCTGAAGCATAAAACGTTTAAAAGGCGGCATCTCTTTGTCTTTCGAGCCTCCTTATTTATTCCCCTTGCCGACATGTACTTTGTTCTACTGCATCATAATCGATTATTCTTTCGGGGAAGATCATTTCCCTTTCGACTCAAGGCCCTAGACTGCGGAAGCATTTCGATTGCTATATGTGATGATTAAGTGCAAATCATTTCATTAACGTGAGGTGGGAGGGGGGGGGGGTATTCACGACCGCATAAAGCGGAGGAATCAACTTGTACAAGTCCTGTTGAAGAGGAACTCTCAGCTTCGGAAGCATGTAAAGCCCATCTCTCTTCTACGCCGTTTTTCGACAAGTAGGAAATGGAATTGAACGCATTTAGTTATTTATTGTTCTTTCGTCCATCTTATGGAAAATCTTGTAGTAGTTTCCCGGAAATCAAGCCTACATGCTCTCAGGATGGGGGGCTGGTGGATCTGGAAGCTGTTTTCATTGGAAGATGCGTGTCCATCCTTTACATTTTTCATGAGGTTCAGATTGGGATCGACAAATGATTCAAGGAAATATTTTGCATTGACGTCAACGGGGGCTTTGAGAACTTCTGACGATAAACAGGGCAAAAGGCTCATGTCTTATATATATATAGACTTATAGCTTAGTGCCAGAGTGCGAGAAGGAAGAGCGTGCAGTGAATTCTTTCATTCATTCAGAGGAGAGGAAGAGAAGCAGAAACCGACATGGGGATGAAGAATCGGAGAGGCATGACCAGGACTTGGTCCAAAGCAACTCTCAAAGTTCGGTATTATCATCAGCTCCTAAGCGACACCAGGTGAAGCTCTTAATTCGCGACCATTCCTACGATACATTCTTTCAAAAGCACTAGCGCTCGAGAAAAAGGAAAGGCATGCGAAGAAAGCTAATCCAACCCAGTCTAGCAGGAAAACGGTCTCAGTCCTAAAACTCATCTAAACGAATACTTCAACATGTAGCCTACAAGCCAATCGCATGCTCGCTGTTTTTAAAATTCAAGAAGGTGCTTCACTGAGATCCATCAGAATTTCCCCTCGGAAAGGTTCGTTGCATAGGCCCACATGCGAGAACATTGTTAGCTGTTGCGACTCGTGATCTGCAGCAGCAGTACTTAGTCAATAGAGACAGGATTGGCATTGCCTGCCCTGACTACGTTGAGAACACATCACGAGCCTCCATTGCTTACTATTATAAGGCTAATCGAACTTGATTTACGACCAGAAGTTTGACTTTTCTGTGTTGCGAAGATCCTACAATATATTAGCTCGATTTAAGTCAACGAAAAGTCCTTATACTTTTGAGCTTTGATTTATAGCATGATTCATTCTTTGCTAAAACGCCGACTACATTTTTCAGTTTACCCCGATCTCGTACCAGTCCTTTAGAAGTTAATCATATGTACAATACCATGTACATGGTATTAGTAGAACATGTGTTTCCTGCTAAATGGAGTGGCAAGGTCGAGGGGGGGGGGGAGACAATACCATAAAAACGTGGGATAGTTGGACTTTGCCCCTCCTCCAGAGGCGGATGCAGAAATTATTCATATTAGGGGAGTTTCCCTACCCAAATAATTCTCGCAGACGTTCAACTTGTGTTAAAGAAGTTTTGGAATGTCCAATGTTCACGGATCTTCTAGGCGTTCTATTAACGTGCCGTTTGATCTCCAATCCTATTCTTCATGACGTTTCTGAAGGACATTAGTTGAACATTAAAGAGACTTTTTCCTTAAGCACACCTGAACTGCTCGGTTGGGGCAGCAGGCCTGCCATCTGGAAGTGGCTCGAACAAACAAAGGTTCGCACCACCGAAGAGGGATGACGCCAAAGTAGCCGCTATCGCTAACCTGATGAAGCTGTAATTAGTCCTCGATACTTTTCACACGGTACCCGATATTTCTCCACAGACACCATAGGGAAAGACATTTGAATTCTTCAATAAATTCGTCTGAAGAGGTAACCCAGTTCAAGGAGTTTCCTGGAAACCCTGGCTCAAAGGATGGAGGGAGCCCAAGTAACACAAGATATTCCAGCAACGTTTAGGAAATGTTGATGAACAATGTTGCATCTATGTGTAAATGTCCAAAACGTCAACGTTGCTCAAATGTTGGGAAGGAACATTGCATTTACGTTACAAATCGCTACTTATTCATTACATATACGTTGCAGATACGTTTCAGGATTTATGTTGCTGCAATGTTGATTAAAAACGTTGCTTCACGGGCACCTAATCAGGGCCTATATTGGCATTACGGAAAAGCGTAGGCTTCACTGGTCCTGAACTGGATCGATATTCGACCAATATTGAATGATTTATTTCATCCTTTCGTACCATATAGTTTACCTCTCTACTCAGACATTCTCATCAACAGGACGAAACCTGTACTGGTTTTACCCTCTACCCATGCACAATACAGTGTTTGTATCATGTACAAGCAGGAGATGGTACATTTTTGGAGGTGATCTTCCCCTGATGTGCTAAATTGCACAATACAGGAAAAGGTCCGACCGCAATGTTCTATGGAGTGTCCACGAGATCAATCCTTCGTTTCCTCAGTTAGTACACAGAATGAGGATATGAAGTATTAAGAACGCAGACTCTCTACCATCGTTTTTATTGTCCTGTAGGATGAATTGGACGAGTTCTTGGAAAGGGTTCTTTTATGGGAATATGAGCTTTTTTTATCTTGACCCCATTAATCTGTCTGGAAATTGAAGATAACAGGTGATGAAGTGTCCGTGTTCATTGATTCCTATAATGAGACAATGTGAGACATATGGCAAGGTACTAGACATTCCTGTGCGGGACTATTCCAGGAAAAGGGAGAAGGGCACTTGTGCGTACTGTGAGAAAGCGAGACTTACGTCTCCATCTCGTGGCAAGGAGGACAACTTTACAATTCTCTAAAACTTTTAAGTCCATGTTGTATCAGAATGTTGTCGATGTCAAAAGTATCAACATTCTCTCAATGTTGATAGCAAATGTTACAATGACATTCGTAGAAGTGTCGCAGCAACATTCCAAGTGAAAACATTGAAGCAATGTTTTCTCAATGTTGTACAGCAACTTGCAACATAGAGCAACATAGGCAACATTTCAGAAACGTTTCATCAACATGCTGTGTTACTTGGGAGGCTGGTTCAACTTCCAACCTGACTTCTTGGAAACGCTCCTAGAAAGATTTCGTTAATGTGTAAATGAAGATATTATAAATGGCTAGGGAGAGTCAGTAATTCAAGAGGAGATAGTTTCAGATTTGCTGGAAGTTTCGCACAGAATTTATTCCAATATGCAACTCTGAAGCAGAAAAAGTACTTTTGAGCTGGTAGAAATATCAGAAAGAGTTCTGCTCCAGTGGAGGAAGTTTTAATCTCACAAAGAGACAGGATGGATGATTGAGAATACTATCTTCTTCTATGAGAGAATTTAGTCCTTCCAATCAGACCAAGCGAAGCTCGACTGCATGATGGCCCCCGGCACAGGAGCCAAAGTACTTGGACTAAATATATATATATATATATACGAGGGGAGGCCTAAAAGTTCTGAGACCAAGGTACTTCCAGTTGCAATACACCATTCTTACTTTTATCATGAGAAGTCTTTGATGGTAACTGGCGAAATTTCATCTTATTTGTCGATTAAGGATAGCTTCTACGAATTTTTTTCAATATGATACTAATGGGTCTGGTGAAGGGATATTAAAATTGAGACGAGTGCTGTGAAGAATTTTCTAACCTCTAAGGAGCCGACCTTCCGACTGGTAGGAGTCGGAGCCAGTAAGCCGGTAAGTCCCGGTCCCACGACTCACAGCGGGTGTCATTACATTCATATGCATGAGACTGCGTAGAATTTGATCGTTATGTAGTCTGTATACTCGTAAATGGTCCACTCTATCGCAAGACTCTATCCAAAGCTTGTGACTCGATCAAGCGTAAAATCCTCTATGATAGAAGGTCAACTCTCAGCATGTAGTGCAATTAATCATGTGATCAAAACTTAAAAGAAGGGATCGAAATCGAGGTTTCCGCGCTTATCTCGAACTTCACGACGATCCCGCGATTGACGTCCGCTCGACGTGAAGTTGGGGAGCCATCAGTGAGAAGTCGGGTAGACAACAATGACACGGCGTGCAGACATCAGAGATCAGAGATCTCAAATCAGACTTCAAAGATATTGTTGCGTTTCTGCAAGTTAAATCGGGAAATCTCCCGTAGACGGCTGATTGCCGTACTTATATTTTTATCGGAAAAAAGATTTGGCAGGTGGGTAATGGAACACGATTGCAGTCTGATGGATATACGGGCCAGGTTTATTATTGACTATGCAATGACTACAGAATTGTGTGAAATTCAGGGGCTGTCCGAGAGGTACAAATCTTCTTGTAAAGATGCGAAATCCAAACGACGTCTTGTTGTTCTTCTCCAATGCTTCCGCACCTCCGGGTCTCGGGGGAACCCGGAGTCCTGTCCTCGTCCAGTTGCTGCAACGAAATTTCAGGTAGAATCGAGCTCTACTCAAATGGGTGCCAGCCTCAAGTGAGGAGTCGATTAACCGTGGAAATTCTGACGTCTGCAGACACTTAGGTCCAGAGACCTTCCTATCCGTAAGGGAAAGGGATCACCGGTGCTACAATCCGGTAGCACTTCCGCTCAAGGTTTGGATCAAACCGAGCCGACCAGTCAATTAACAACAGGGATTCTGCCGTCTGGAGACACCAAGGTCCTGAGGGAGTCGTTCGGAGTTGTGGATCCTGTACCGTCGTAGTACGTCCTGGCTCGAGGTTTGAGTGGAGGTCAAACCGAGCAGGTGGTACGTATGCTGATGTCAACAGAGCTCGAGGTTCGTGACCCGCGGACAGATTGGCGGCCGTTTACTCACAAATGGAGCAGCGCCTTCTGAGCCGTTCCACTTCCTTTATGGGTGGATCCACGAATGGAATCGGGTCAACCGAGCTCTGGAGGAGTCGTCCAGCCGCAGACTCTTGGCAGGTCAAAAGCTTAGAGATAACTCCCAGCTCGAGTTGCTGAGTCGTGCAAGCGACCGACTGCCTCCCTCGGACTGAAGACGGGGGTTTTTATACCGGGGAGGAGACCATAAAGTTGGGTCATTCGTGACTGTTGCAAAGAATTTGTCAACAAGAAAAGCGGGGCGGGGATAAGACATGCGGAGCACAGGTGCTGATCACGTGATTGTTCCTGAGTTGGTGCCCATATATCCACATTTCATGTTTGCTACAATATAAAGCTTCCGACTTCGTCAAAGTGTCCCTCCCTTCCCACACAACACGGTGATATCCCAGGGATGCCCTAACTGGACGACTTGTCCCATGGTCTTTATAGGATATCCTGAAGACATCTTCTTTCGGACGGTTTCGGACATCTTAGAGACAGAGGAGAGTGCTGAGCAGGAACAAACAGAAAATCCCCCCTCGTATGCGACCTTCTGGAGAGATTGAAACTCTCCCGCCCCTTCCTACCGCCACTGTCGCCATTGCATTTGGGAGGCCTGAGCCATATTCGTAACTGGGTATGACATTGGCAATGCATCCGACTTTTGACCGAGAACCTGCGAATTTACTGGAGCTTTTTCCCCAAAACATGCACTATGCATGGGCTGATGTGTTCCTGATAGACCTTGAAATGTCCTCTAAATTCGTGCGGCCGAAGCAAAGCTACGAGCGTTTCCTCGATAGAAATCTCAAGTTGAAGATGAACGGGAAACTCCTGTCCCTTCCGAATGACTGCGCTTCTCTTCTACCACTCCTCTTCTACGTATGCGAGACCAAACTTTTGTAAAAACATGGAGGATGTTTTCCGTGAGGAAGTTTATCGTACTGACACCTATTGATTAGTTAGTTTTAAATTGAAAGAAAATAGGTTATCAAAACAATCTACTGGAAGGAGCAGCCCAAAGAATGAATTTTAATGGAAGAGTTTTATATGCCCCCTGGACTATCACAAAACTAAGGCGTTTCCTCCACTCGACTGCCAGATAGAGCACTGCACGGGACGTGAATCCCGTCCCGTTTCGTTGAATGCAAAACGTGGGGCCCGTCCTTTCTAAGTTTTTCTGCTTTGAGGTTTTCAATTGGAAATTACTGATCGAAAAGCTTCTACACGTGTTAATGCAAAAAAAAGCAGAAGTGAAGATTCTTTCCCGCGACTCTCTTCGGGACGTCTCATCCCATGCACTACTCTACTACCAGCACATGCGAGCCTCGATTTTCAATATCTCAACTTATTTTAAATAATTGCTCTTAGCCTTGCCTAATGTGCAACGAATTTGAATGAAGTTTCGAAAGTAATTTGAAATTGTATCCGTCTCTGCACAGAGGATATATTGTGATGATAACTTCAGCTAAAGCAAAGGTTAAATAATTGAAGCTAGTGATCATCCTTCATAATATCATGTTTTTGCGTAATGAACTCAAGTTTTTTCAATGCGATGGTGACGAACTACCGATCATCCAAGGAGTCAGGATTCTGTTCCGCTCTGGTCTCTCCATTCTACCCTGTATTTCGCCAACAAAAAAAGGAGAAAAAATTGGAAATATAGAACCTTTCTCTCTCCTGGAAATGTAACTTTTTTTGTCGCAGGAATCAGAATACCGCAACGTGAGAGGCACGTTGACGGAGTTGGAATATTCCAATCTTCATCTACGTACGCGACCGACGGACTCGATGCATGTACCAGCTTGGGAATCAGCTTCTATTTCATGTCCACGGCCACCGAAGAGTATTCTTTCCACATCGACTTTATTGTAGATACTTGTAGATGTGAAGCTACTTGAGCTCTCAGAATTCCTCTTCGTTCGTGTTGGTGTAGTATCTCGATGGGATGAGAATTCCACGGTAGACAGAAACCTTCGTAAAACTGTCCTTCCCAAAAGTCTCTGGAGAAGGTTCTGTAGTTGGCGTTCACACGGGGCAGTGTTACCATGTCGTACATGTAGAGGAGATGGTTGGTGTGGTGATCTAAATGCTTCGATTTCTCTTCGTCGTGACCACAGTAGGTCACAGCGAGTTCAACACGACGAGGTTTGAGAGCAAGACAGAAACGAGGAGGGAACGACGTGTCACCCTGAAAGAACCCGTCTCATGGAACTCTCAGTAGTAGCCAAAGGGGTCTCCTGTCCCTTCATTACCATGACTGCCTTCCAGTGTCGATATAGTACATCCTGAGACACTCGATAAACACAGAATTCTATGCCTATTCGTAGCCTATGAACGCTGCTGAGAGGTTTCCTTCTGTTTCTGGCATCATCCGGGGTCATGCGGTGGAGCATGTGTTGTTTCTTGCAGCCATACCATCCTTTTCGACATTTTTTCGCCTCTTCTTACACGATGATGTTGTCACTAATGTGTCATTCGGTTTGTGTTGCTACGATGCGGAACAGCACTTTGTAATTGGTTGCCAGGCAGGTGAGGTACCTGTCGTTCTGCTGCAGTACGGAACAGGTTTCTTTGGTGGAAAGTAAACGATTCCCGCTGTAAACTAGTCTGGGTTCGCTGTTGGATCATTTACTTCTCTCTTCTCTGATTGCGACGTTAGTTGCTTCAGTCAGCAAATTTGGACACGATCAGGTTCAGGGTTTTTCCAATTCGCTGGAATGCCTTCGGTCTGATCTCATCGGAATGCATCCATATCAAAGATTGTTACCTGCCTCTTCTGGAGGGACAGCCCGATCGACTATGCCGCTGTGAAAGACTGGGTGATTCAAGTTCGATTGTAACTCTTACAACTCTACCTGGTCAAGGAATCTCTTGGGCTACTTTTCTGCTACGGGTTTCATTCCCTGGTTACGGTAACAATGCTTCTTGTCAGCGTGTTTCTTGTTAAATATTAGCGAAGCGGTCGTTCTAACGGAAGTTTTTGACCCTGTTGGAGTATTGCCTGATTCTCTGTGCTAAGCTTGGATCTTCGTCCCAATGAGTACTGCAATAGATTCTCAACGATCCTCGGAAGAACTGTATCAGTGGCGATCTTTTACCCGGGGAGGAGCTGATTGTAGGTCACTTTAACCTTCAGGGAGAATTCCTTCTCTCGATCTCATGAACGGTACTGACGTCTCTTTTTGTCGTCGATCTGATCTTAATTTTTTTGTACGCAATTATAATAAATTTTACAACGGAAATGGAAAGACCATAAAAACAATGTCTTCCTGATGTCCGAGGACAATCCGCAATGGGTAAAAATCTATTCAGTGAAGAGTAGCTCAATTACACCATCTACGCCAATGATATTCTGCTCAGGATCACGGCTGGACTTGAAAATACCTTAATGCTGAAAATATATTCCTCTTGATCAGCATTTTTATCGATGGAAAAGTCGTCTGCAGAGAACACGACGCATTATTGAGAGAAGTTTCCAAACTACAATTCATTCCGATTGGCTTTTCGTTTTCTGATGTGTTATGTACTTTTGATTTGGTACATTTTTAGATCGACTGAATAGATTGCTGTGGCATTCTTTCCAGTCGGCTGAAAGAAAAGTACGAAGTGAATCTGGAAAAGGTAGAAAGTCTATCTGAATCCACAAAGGCCTTGAACTCTGAAAAGCTCTGGCGAAACTTGTGGAAATATCCAAGAGGCTATGGAAACGACTGTGAACTATGTGCAGTTACTTACAAAAAGCACAACTGAAACCCTTTTTTCCAGTTTTTAGATTGTAGGGAATGCAGCTTGGCAAGGCAAGTCCATACCCTTTTCATTATCCTGAAAGAAATACTTTCTCTTAGAAGGGAAATGGCTCATATGCATGAAGCTGTTTCTCTGAAGAAAGGAAAGATATGGGAACATAAGCAGAAGACAGCTAACCTCTTTAGAAAGAGAAATCTGAAAACCTTAATGACTAATATGGAAATCTCAGTCTCGTTCCCAAAGAATGGAATCCTTATTTCTGCAGAACAGCATTGGATGCTGAGAAATAGATATAGGATTTCAGTGCTCTTTCAGTTGCGAATCAAGGTGACTTCTACGAATCCTTTTTTTTTTTCAACGAGGGGTTCCTTCCCCATCATTGTTATTCGAACATGGCTGCGATTCGATTCAAAGATTGGATAGGGCTGTCAGAGGAAGGACCACTCTCCGTCATGTATTGAGTTTATTTGTCCCTGATCGGATATAAATGCGACTACTCTATCTTCAGAGTAGACGAGTGACGGCAAAGATGGCTATCGCTGTCGTCATTTTCTGGTATAACCCCCAATCCTATCTGCGGCGCATGGATGGTTTCTCGCGGGGAGTCGTGGAACTGGTCCCAGATAGAATCTCCTTTGTGCTCTCCAAAACGCACTGCGAAAGGTCTGGGTGGTAGAAGACCATGGACAGATCTAGAAGGTGTTAAGGGGAAATTTGTAAGAGAAAGACGCAGTTGCACTCGTTCATCTCTCTTCGCTGTGGCTGGATGATGAAATCGGAGGCCGTCCTCACTTTCTCATGGGGCTCTTCTCACTTCAGCAAAAGGTTTTCTTTTCTTTTTTTTTTTTACTCATGCATTTCCTCGTGGTGGAGGGGAGGAGGTAGAGACTAGATTTTCGTTTCTTTTTTCGCTCTAGAACCGATTGTATGTAAAATATCAGGTCTTTCTTGCGATCTTTTATGGGGTACCCTTTGAGGGTAAGAGAAGCAGATTGTCCTCAAAATAAAATAAAACAAAGCTGGCTAATTTGTAGAGCCATTGATCAGTCCATTCGTGCTCCATTGATGAAATATATATACAGGTCATAAAGTGAACCGAGTAAAGTCCAGGGTTTCTTGCACATCTGTATCGTTGCAGCTTCGTCTTCACTGCCGAACTCTAAACTGGGAGACCATTGAGATGGTATTTTAATGACGCTGACAACAACTACGTTCCTCGTAGGTCTTTCTTCATGCTTCTTCTGCGTCTTTAGTGCTGACTCCGCCTCCTGAAGGCATATTGTATTGTGCATAGAGTGAAGTCAAAATACATAAATAATTTATTATGAAATCAGAGGAGAATCTCACGAAGGCCATGATGAACAGGAGATAGATCTCAAGTACAGTCCATTCACATGCGGCCACTTCCTTCTTCCATAACTCGAAACGTGGACTTGGCCTTGCTCTTCTTCCGCGACTCCAGCCAATCCCGTCCGTGCTTCGGACGGATATCATTCGTCAGCAGAAGGGCTCGCTTAAATTCATTGATCTTGAAAACTCCAATACATGAGCTAGCATGCAGAGAACGGCAGGCGATGTAACACACTTCAGTAGCCATTTCTAGATCAATCAATATGATTTAATCCGGGTTTGACGTATCGACCTCGCCACGTTCTCTCCCTCAGTTCTCTTTAGAAATATTCATAGAGCATGTCTCCGAGTCCCGAATGACAGAAACGCGTAATGATGACTTTTAAAAATAAATTCGGTTTTATGGAAAAACGAATGCAGTTGATGATATTCTGAAACATGTTCTCCACTGAGCACATTTCCTTTCATTATCGGTCTTCTTTCCACTCATCAGATTGTCAGATGGGAAGCAAGTGGCGAATTTGGAGCAGGCTCTGTTCGATCTGTTCAAAAATGAAGCGGATAAGGTCCCCGTGAACAAGTTCTTATACGTCAGTCTCTCTCGTCGTTCGAGGTACACGGGGGTAAGGAGCTGGGCACGGTGGCGTGACGATACGAATATGTTTTGAGAAAGGCTCTGGAGACGACGGGAGTGCGGAGGGACGATCCAAGGATCAAAGAGACATTGCGGAACCTGGAACTGGTTGCCAGGGAGGGCAAGGGTGAAGGGAAGGAAGAGGACGAGGATTTCACCTCCATCGACAATCTCCTCGTCGACCTAAGCACCTTCAAACGGTTCGTTCTTGTCCCTTATGTCCTTTCTATCTCGCCGGCATCGCACGAAACAGTGCATGTGCCTGTGGGTAGCTCCACCGGTGACCTTTGGTTTCATTCAATCGTGTCCGTGCAAGAGTGGATTCCATCGACAGAGCCGAGCGTCGATGCGAGTTGAATACACGAAAGTGAGAGAGGAAGCAAGAAACCGTCGTAAACGAAGCCATGTTATGCTATTCTCCCGGCAGAGAACTGATTGGATGAAAGTTATCATTAAATTTTAGGGTACTCCCGGTTAAATGACCGGACGTGAAAACAGATAAGTCAAAGTAATTTAACTGGAAGGTACTAAAGTGTTTCAAATGAAGATACATTCAGAGTAAGACTTGCCTAATAGAACAACGTATCACATCAAGTGACAATTGGATCTGTCCACGCCAAGTGGTCCTAGAATTTTAGCCGGAAATTTTCCTAAGTATGCAAATATTACTTTCGCTACGGAAGTTCATAATCTCTTTTCCCAAATGACATGAATGAAAGGGAATATTACATTGGAAAATGAAAGAATTAGTCATGATTATGATATATTATTCATACCAATCTCATGATAATGTGATGAAAATGCAAATTTGGAGAGACTGAATTAGTCTACTGGAACAGATGCCAGCATGGGCTTTCCATGCATGCTGATAATTTCAAATCAGCTCAGGTGTCAAGAGTAGATGTCAATTGTTCACATTTGAATGATATCTTTAAAATAGAATAAATATATATGTACAGACTTCTCGTTTCAAAATACACTTTCAGAACATGTCACATCTGACACTTTCCTGTCACATCCGACACCGTCACAAAATAGGCTTACATTCTATTTCAAGTGTTGACATCTTGGGGTGACTTACATTAATTTCAAGCGCTCATTCAATCTATACTAAATCAATAGGATCCGCTGGTGAATGAATTCCAGGTCAAATCCCAAGGCGCATTCGGCTCACCGAGAATTTTAAGGGCACTTGCAGTTAATTGTCTTCCTATTTCCCTTTTCATCTCTCATTTCGTTTGATTGGGAGACGGTACTTGGGCTCTTGTATTGCAGATGCATTTCAGACAACATCGTCTTGATCTCCAAGGCGTTTCGTCAGCAGTTCGTCATTCCGGAATTCGTCCAATTCACTTGCAAGATCGAAGAAACTTTCCGATTGTGCTCGGAAAACAAGGATGGAAAGGTCAGATCATATAATTTTACTCCGTTTCCTTTCCTAGACTTAATCATTTTCAGATTTTCATAAGGTACTCGAGTTTGAAAGATTCTATAGCTCGTATTAGGTCATTCAAAAAATATTTCTGGACATCAGCGAGTTCAATTAGTTTTAGTGTGCGTAGGGTAACGTAGGCATTTCATAATTGCAACGCCCCTGCTGTGAACTTCGATCGCAAAAAATCTCAATCCTCAGCTGAAAACTTGAATCTTGAAGCGCGTGAAGGTGCCGCCCTCATGCCGCCCTCATGCCCTGCACCCCTGCCTGTCTTCTATGGAGGAAATGTTTCCGGGCATTTGCCGAACATGATGAAGACTAGCTTTTATCCTCGAAACATTCGTGATTTCTTAATCGAGCCAAAGCGAGTTCCGTTACATAGCAGTGTTCAAACGAGGCATACTCATGCATGCACTTTGCTTACGACTATGTGGATCCTCCTAATTTCCCAGAAGATAATGATAAAAATGTGTACTCTGCATGCATAGCACTGACTTTTTACATCTTGCCCCACCTCAAACGAGAGTTTCTCAGCTGGTGCGCCAAGGCACAGTGGACCGCGAGATTTATACTTTGGTGAGGGAGGGGAGAGGGAGGGGAAGAGGAACCTTTCTTTCTTCTATATACAGCCTATGCCAAATGTAACGTCAATTCCATACCATAACATTTCCACTGGGTATCTTCCCTTGGAGCTTTGTTTAAAAAGCTCCCAGGAAATTTGTAAGGGATTGAAGGCGTGCCGCCAGTTAAGAAGGCTGACCTTCCTCAGACCATCGACCCGTCCAGGGAGAAAGGAACGAAGATACTGTCGCATTTGAATCTTGCGTCTCTCTGCCTCAAGCTCTATTCTAAAAGGAAATATCTACTGATTTTTTTCGTATGGGAAATGCTCTCCGCAGTCGGACTTTAGTTCTCCTTGTTGACCCAGATCTGATGTGATGTCGAGTGGAAACGAGGTCATACATAGTAAACCCATAGAAAGGCTATGGGCGAAGGGACAGTGGCAGAGCAAGGGTAGGGGACTGCGAGGACCAGGAGCCCCAACCGCCAACAGTTTACCACCACCACACACGGACGATGCGCACGCCTTCTAGTCACTCTATTAAGTATCGAATGTTGATGCTAAAATTGTCGGAATTGCGTTTGTTTGTTGGTTTTTTCCTATTTTTTTTTTTTTGTGTTAGCAGTCAACTCGCTACTCTGGGCAGGAAAAAACTTTGTGCATTACAAAATTTAACGATAGTGAAAGTCAGTGATGGCTCTATTCACTGTGTGAATGAAAGAAATAGCTGTTGAATGATAGCAGGACCTTATTTTTGCAACTTTCAGTTAATGAAGCCCTTCTAAAATTGAGTTTGTGGCGAATGCACTCATCACATAACGTCAATGACGGAAGCATCAACAACTACTGGAAACTCCTACGATTGTCGTATTCGTCGACCGTCTTCATGTACAACATCGCAGGGTAGATGCCTGCTATTGCAATTATGATCTGGGTCATCGTTCTATGATGATGTTATGGACAAGAGAAGAATCCAAGACAATACAAAAGTTCTACAATAGTTTTTTTCAGCGCAGTCGACGCACTTTTCTAAAAGTGCGTCGAAAAATGTATTTCCTTTCAGGAAAAAAATAGCATTAGCATTGGGATGGTGGGCCGAATATTGTTATTCCTCTCGTCACAATGCATACTGCTTATAAGAGAATTCGTCGAGGACGATAGGTAAAAGGACGAAGAATGATGTTGATCGGGATGATTCCAGGTGGCGTCCTACATCCCTCAATTGGCCCACATGAATCCGAATTATTGGGGAGTGTCATTTTGCACCGTGGACGGCCAAAGGTTCTCCATCGGCGACGACAACATCCCTTTCACCATGCAATCCGCCAGGTCCTTATGCTTCAACTTCATTCAATCTCTTTTACGTTAACCTCGAATGAACTTATCACTCGTGGTCGGTGCCTTCGTCTCAGTCGGAGTATCCATTCCTTCAAGTTCATTGCCGGATGATAACTGGCCGACTCTTGAAGTGACGTCTATTAACGTTGGCGAGGTTATGCATATGATGTTGATCCGATATCTTGAGGGTGATATGCAGAGAGGTACTAACGCACTTGCTTTAACACTATCCCTTTCAATGATAAAACCTCTCACTAAAGCAGTCTTTAAAACAATTGTTGATCCGGGGCCTCCTGCAGGTAATTGAAAATCAAACAGAAGTCGCAACCCGCCATCATCGGTCTAATTGAGATCTCAAATGTATGAATTTCGCATTGATCGTGGAGTCTATTATTTTTTAAGTATACCTCTCCACCTGCCCATATAAAACCCTTTCTGAACAACTTTTTTTCGTGCATATTTGAATACCATAGTCTAAACAAAAAGTAAGCGATCGAGAAGCCGTGAGCCAGGGTGGACCCATCCGTCTTTTCTTCATCGTCTCGTCGAGACACCTGCTAGAGCTCTCATGTATTCCATACCAAATTTAAGAGGCAAAGAGATATTTTCAACGAAAAAGGACTTTGTCTTCTTGTCAAAATTCCGTGGGGGTGAACCATGTCCACTGAAGAAGCTCGGAGAGCGCTGTTTCTTTTAGAATGCAAAATTATCCATCGGTATCAGATATCCAGCTAAAGACGGGAACGTCTTGAGCGTGAAGAGAAGCAATGAAAGACGAATTCGTTGTTCAAACCTAGAGATGAAAAGGTTTAAGATGACAGTGGCGTAAAATTTCCCATCCTTTCAAATTATTTATTTATTTTTTTCCCAAGACGTCCACTGCCTATGCTCTCCCTCCTCCGGAAGTTCCAGCGAGCAACGATGAATTTGTGACATTTGTTTGCCCCCTTCAGCAAGGTGCTGACGTACGTGATTGCCCATTCGGAGTTGGGTGCGGAGCGGATCCACAGTTACATCGGCCAGGAACCCAGCGGGAGGATGTTCAACGAACTCGTCCTCAATCACAACCGTGAGAGTTCCCCACACGCTTTCACCTTTTCCATTCCTTTTGATGAAAATTTCAGGGCATTGAGAAAAAATATGTACACTTTAGGCAAGCCGCACAACCCGATGATCAATGCCGGCGCCATTCTCACAGCTTCTCTTCTCCAAAATCTCGTCCGACCCGAAATGCGACACTGCGACAAGTTCCAGTGGATCACACGCTACTTCAAGGTACGTCCTAACTCTTTCTCTCCCTCATCTCCTATTCATTTAGGATTTATATGCTATCTATTCAGCATCTAGTGATACACTGGCATCCATCAATGCTTCAAGCGGAAATTCCAGCTGTGAGAAATCTGGAGATGGCTATATGTGCATCAGTTGCTAGTCCTTAATTTTCCTACCATTCCCAACAGGAATTTTAGGAGTCGGTCCTACTTGACTGGTCATTTTCTTTTGCTAAAATGTAAGTCATGTGTGATCGTGGAACAGAGGCTGGCAGGGGGGATGCCGATCGGATTCAACAATGCCGTCTTCATGTCCGAGATCGAGGATGCCGACCGAAACTTTGCCCTCGCTTATTACATGAAGGATAACCATTGCTTCCCCGAGGGGACCAACATGGAGTCCTGTCTCGACCTCTACTTCCAGGTTCGGTCACGATTTTCCACCTCTTGCCTTTTTTTTTGTTGGACCTCCATTCCGAAAGGGAAAGAGGCCTCTGCTGATCTTGTCTCAGTCTGTCTGCTGCTCTGGTCCCACTTTAATGTCCGGCGATACCTTGACAAATATTAATTGATCGCCCTAAAGATGGATACAAAGAAACATTCTGGAAAGAAAACGGCTGGTACGCATTCGGTCAAGTGCGTGCCATGTGTAAATGGTCGTGATCGAGTCAGACTGTGATCGGATCTTGTTTAGTGATACGATAAAATGAAGTCCCTCTTTTGTGAAAGGAGGTGGTGTTCTGGCATCGGCTTGCCCAGTTTGTTTACCGCCGTGGGGTCTTTCAAGTGATGTAAAACAATGATTTCCAAAAGTCAACTGGTTCTCACTTCACCAGAGGTTGACTCGGGATGAGACCTATCAGGCCTCCGTGTCCGCTCTGTTTCCAAGCAATACGTGTTGCTCCTTTTTCAATACCGATTTTGTCTCCGATTCATGCCAAGGATTAGATCCAAAAAATCATGGAAATAAAAAAGGCCCCTGCTTCAGTCACCCACATAATCTCACCCAACTCAAAGATAACTGACTCAAGATCCAAGGAACTTTCTTAAAGCTTTACACCCTTATGGCTTCGATGTTAAAACAACTGAAAAGTCTTTCCCCTACAAATGGTAAGGGATCCCTATCTGTCATGGCTACCTTTTATTCCCCTCTCGTTTCTTTTTTTGCCCGTCTCTGTACCTGAAGAAGGAGCTATGCCCAAAAGCTTGTGTTCCATTTTCTGCGATCTCGACCTCTCGACTCATGCCCTTTTACTCGTCTTGTTATCTGTATTTTAATGCTTTGCCTTTCTTTTAATCTTTTAAACATTCTTTGAACCGTGGTGCCAGTGTGGGGTTCCTCCTCTCCGCTTTTCTATCTCAAATTCATATTTTGATCCATTTTCATCCCTCTGCCGTGACAGTGTTGTTCGATGGAGGTAACGACGGAGACGATGTCTGTGATAGCAGCCACACTGGCCAACGGGGGAGTCTGTCCCATCTCGGGGGAACAAGTCCTTCAAAGCGAATCCGTTCGAGATGCTCTCTCCATCATGCACTCTTGCGGCATGTACGACTATTCGGGTCAATTCGCTTTCCAGGTCCGTCCATTGCAAGGGGAATATATTAAATAAAGAATACATATTCATTATATACGTATCAAAATAATCAATCTATATGGATCAGGTGGGTCTGCCGGCGAAGTCAGGCGTGAGTGGCGTCATCATGTGCGTCGTCCCAAACACGCTTGGAATCTGCTGTTTCTCTCCTCCCCTGGACAAGTATGGAAATTCCGTCCGGGGTGTCCAGTTTTGCAAGGTGAATTCTCTTTCATACTCGTATCTCTCCTTGGGTTCCTACATCAAAAATATATTGGCCTCGTGTTTTATTTTTGAATTGTGAAAATGTCAATTTTATGAAAGCACTTTAAAGAAATTATTATTCATTTATCGCGATCGATTGGGGGTTTTGTAATGGATTGTAATGTTGATAGGCTCTGGTGGACTACTTTAACTTCCATCGGTACGACAATCTGAAGCACGCCGAGGACAAGACGGACCCCAGACGACACAAATATGAAACCAAAGGACTATACATAGTTTCCTTGCTCTTCAGCGCTGCGGCTGGTGATGTGAAGGCCCTTCGAAGGTCAGTCCATCTCACTCCAACAGACGAGAATGACTCATTTTCTTCTTATTTCTGGGACAGAACATCCTCTTATATTTCTTGTTAAATTCAAATCAAGGATTTGGAAAGGAATTCAAGGATTCAAGAATTATATTTCTTGCTAATTTGAAGCAACATTGGAAGTGAGAAGTGAATCAAGATATGTCAGATCAATTTTCAGTATATCTTCTAAAGTTGACATTTCATGATGTATGTTGACGATAACGTTGCAGGTACCGGTTAAGCGGAATGGATATGTGTCAGTGTGACTATGATGGGAGGACGGCGCTTCACTTGTCCGCTGCCGAAGGTCACCTGGAGTGCGTAGAATTCCTGCTCGCCTGCGGAGTTTCTGCTAGGGCCAAGGACAGGTACTGCCCTTGCCCTCTGCCCGTGCTATTCCTATTCCCTTGTATGCTAGCAAGGTGGTTCGAAAGTGTCACTTCGACATATAACCTTTGGGCCTTCGAGTCGAAACGCAATTTGTTTCATAAATCAGTTCGGGATAATCATGTCGCTTATTTACTGGCCACTGTCTTTCTCTGGCCAAAGACATTTTATACCCTCTCATGTCTAATCTCTACTCCAGGTTCAGGATTGCTTCTTTAAAACATTAGGGAGGATTTTTAAATCCTATCAAATGAAATATTGTTAAATCAAAATATTCCTATTTCATTTATCTTCCGCAGTCTTTTATTTTATGAAGAAATTAATTCTCTTCTTCCTCTGCATGATATGCTCGTGTTGTTGTACTAGATGGGGTCACTTCCCTATCGATGACGCCCGAAGCTTCGGTCACCCGAAGGTTATTCAGCTGCTGGAGAAACACATGAACAAGATCGCAGAGGAAGAGGCAGAGCATCCAGAGGCATTGTTCCATGTGTCCAACAGTGAGGACAACTTCCTTCTATTAGATTCCGACAGTGACTCGAAGGCCAACTCGGAAGAGAGCCAGAAGATACATGAATCTATTGCTCCTCCGAAGGCGACAATAGTAAATAACAAGCCTCCCATCCCTCCGAAGACAAATCTGCTCGTCAGTGCTTAATAGTTTCTCCTTTTATTTCTATCCTCAACCTATATGTAGTAAAAACAGTGTATGCCCCAGAATCATTTAAAAGTTAATAAATTGGGTCCCAGTGTCTTCATATTTATTCAAGATCGAAGTTTTTTTTGTTGCAAAACCTGATCAATTGACTTGGGACACTCGTTGATAGGGATCTGCTTTGATGAGGATCTTTTTCGAGCGGCGATTGCACGAAGTCAAATTTTGTTTGTCCCTTTCGTCAAAGACATCGCTTCATTAAACTCCGAGAGGAGGCTGGAGGGCGGGTTACTATTGAAAGTTTATTATTAAGTGGGTCACGGTCGTAGTCCATCAATCACGATGACTATTCAAGGTTGATACAGCAATCGAGGTAGATTCGAGGAAAGTGGACGGTGAATGTGGCTCATAAAACATTCACCCCTTTATTGGCGAGATGAATGATCTAGGAAGTACTTGTTTGGAGATTGTAAATCATTTCGGGGAGATGGGTTTATAGGGTCATTAGCGATAATTGACGTTGTGGGAAGGTCAAATGAAAAATTGATGAGGCGCTCCATCAGGCTACCTGATGAGTCTTACCCATCGATGCCCCTGCTTCGTCCCAACATCAAAGGGCGCGGTAGTGCCCATTACCTTTCTTCAACCCCTTCCGGCGACAAAATTCAACCGTCTCGTATTCCTCTCTGAGAACATAAACGAAATCGAAATTTGGCATACTCCTTCCTCTCTCAACGCAGAATCGCTTCAGCAAATTTGAAACACCATTTCCCCGTGGTTATGGAAATCACTGAATCTCGCTTTTCGGAGATGTGAATTTCGTTCCGGTATTATTTTTTTTCTCCCCCTCTGGGTAGCCATTCCTGGGAAGTTTTCGGAGAAAAAAGATAAGAAAGATATTGACTTGTAGGTGACAAAAGGTTTCCTTTTTGTTGCTTCCAGTGCACCATTTCGCCATAAAGAAAATGAAATTATTGTATAACGGCAATAGATCCTGTTAATTTAGGCTTAGTGTGATGCCTCCGGTCCCGTCTTCCAGTGTTGCCGGATATCGTGCCTTAGTTATGCCAGATTCATGACTTCGGCCTTAGTATCGGTGTCTGGATCTTCTATTTTTTAATGTGTGAGATAATTTTGTGTCGAACTCATTAGATGAACTGAGATTGAAATGGTGACTAGCAGTGTTCGATCGCTTTGGTGAGATGTGGAGGTATCTCATTCGGACAACCGTAAATTAACAGAATGGCGCCTGAGTTCTATTCCATGCTTCCAATAGGCATTTTCTCTTCGGAACTCGTCAAGACGACTCGAGGAACTCTAGATAGGCCTAACGTTCCTCATCCGCACTGAAATGGTTAATGAAACTCGAAACAGACCTCTAATCGGCCTAACGTTACACGTACTCTCTTAAAAGGGCCATGGAAGACTGAATAGGCCTGCGATTGGCTTAACATTATATGTCCTCGACGAGATGTCTGGAAGACCAGATAGGCCTAATTGGCCCAGTAAGTCGAGGATTAAGTTTCTTTCAAACGAAAAAAGGTAGGTCTAGGCCTGACCCTAAGGCAGTCCGTCGGTTAGGCCAAGGCCTAACGTTAGTGAGTTCCGTAAAAAGGGGGGAAGTGAAGTTGAGGTTGGGGTTGGGTTGAAGAAAGGTAAAGCCATTGAAAAATGGTTTTCACATTACTACATTGTTGAATTCTGCGCAGCCTTTGTGATGCACATTGACGTATACAAGGGTGATTTAGAAAAAAAACTCCATCGTTTTCTGTGAGAAAAGCAGCTTCGTACATGTGGCCAACATGTAAAAAATAGGTTCGCCGTCGATATTGGCAAGCTGCGAGGTGTTAGAATGATTAGATCCCTGTCAGTACCCTCGTATGAGCAATGCGATCCCCGCTATGTAATTTACAGATGGATCATTCCATCCCATGTGTGGCAATGATCAGTCCTTGACCATCTTAAAATTTAAACAAATTTGCCTTGCATTCAGATTATGGTAAGAATAACGTAGAGTTAAAATCATGGTTCTTACAGCCTATAGTCATGGTTCCAGCGCTGATATTCTTCTATATTACTGAGAATAAGTAAAGAAAATTTCAGTGGTAGGCTGGATTTGTGGTGGAAATTTTGGTTTTCCTCACAGTCCTGTGTCTTTATTAACCCTTCCACTGTGGAGTTATCTTAGCTGTGCTGAGTAACCTGACAAGTATACTCGTCCGTAGCTCGGAAAGGGGTTAAGAAAACGAAAATTCGTTCTCCTTACCCTCAGAACTGCCAGATAAATATCCAAGGAAAACATTTTAATACTTCCCTCAATTTGGGAAAATTTTTATTTAAACTCTTCAATCAATTGTATCTTCGTATTCTGCATTCAGGCAAGAAGATTTCAACGAAAACTTGTCAATCGATGCACTTAAAATCCGCTAAGTTATCTCCAGTCGTCTATATTCCACATTCCACTTAACATCGGAGGTGAGAGAAAAGAGAGGGTGTTTCCTTCGAAACAGAGAAAATGAAATTTATGTTGCCGAAACCGCACATTTCCAAGTAAAAAGCTTCTCTAATGGACTAAAACGGATATCAATTTGCTGGAACTTAGCTCTTTTTACCATCCTTCGACACAATTCGCCATTTGAAACCAATTCTTCAACGTCACTGAATAAGAGAAGCAAGAACTGGGCCTGGTGGTGGCGAGTGTTCTCCCGCGTCAATACGATTCCTGTCCGGAGGAGTCAGTCGTGCAAATTCCTTGGTGTAGAACGTTCCGTGCAATGCATCGCTGAGTCGAGTCTCGAGTCTGTTTCCTCGTATTTCGTTGCAAATCTCCTGGCTGCTTGTTTTCTTTCACAGGGCACTAGTAACGACATGAATTTAAGAAGCGGTGATCCGGGTGAGAATTCACGGCAATTTATCAACTGATTGAAATTGACAGCATAGCTACCTCTTAGATGCAGTGACAGGAGCTAAGGATCTGAAAAAATATTTCCCTATTTTCATAACCAGGATCCAAGCACCAACAAATCTGATTTGATGTCACGGAGCTGAGAAAAAAAAGAAGAGACTTTCATGTTTAACCTCGGAGGTCACTCACTCCTTTCACCCCTCTTTATCTCTTCTTCGTGCTAGGGTAGCTTCCTTTAAGTAGGCCGTTGTTCCTCCATACACCTGGATTTGAATCGGGAGCTTCCGAGAAGTATCTCTCAAGCCACGTGTGTAGTTCTCAACTCTTTCCGTTTAGGCCCTGCCCGCATCATTCCGTGGGAAAATGCTTTTATCCCTTTGAGCTAAACATCCCACCACGAACTCTTCACTCTCTCGACTCGCCCATTTCGTCAGAGCTGGATTCATTACAAACATTCTCATTCGCAGTTTGAGAAGTTGAAATTTTACCATTTTAAGAAATTAGAGCAAATGAAGGCAAAATGGCGGAGGATCTCCATGGGAAAAACGATGGCGATTGTGATGTAGATTTTATCTCATGGAATTGCTGGTGGACTAAGACGAATCTCTTCATAAGTGTCAAAATCTTTTTATTTTCTTTGAGCTAAGGCAAACGCCACTTGATATTGTTAAATTATGTTGTCAACCGGCAGGATTCCTTCTTCTCGCACCTTCAGCCTCCAAGGTGAATATTGTTCGATTCCTGTCTTCTGGGGAGTAGGAGAGCGTCCACTTCCTTTCCCACAGGGGGGACGCGAGCGTCCACCTGCAATCCACCTGCCGTCCACCCCCTGGTGGATGCAGGTGGATTACAGGTAGACGTTTCGTAAGGGTATTCCAAATTTCTTTCATCGAGCAGTCCTTTACATGGCTTAACAAAAGAGAGTGCACTTTGAGAATATTGATTCGAATCAGGCACTTGAAAACTAGGAATACGACAAAAATGGCACGTATTGAGCGTAGTTTCATAACTAATTGTATAATCTGTTTGTGCAACACTTGTTTTCAGTTTTTCCCAATATAAATGTTCTGGCCCAAAAAAGGACCAGACCTCTAAATTTAATGTAATTGTCAATTACTGCTTTACTTTTTAAGATAAATAAATAAATAAATTATGTTCGCTATTAACGTACAATATTTCTCATTTCACAAGAACTGAATTGTGTGCGCCATTCAATCAAAAAGGAATGTTTAAGAAAGGTGCACTTTACGTCTAACCATCCAACAAACTTATTTTCTCATAATGAGGCATAACGTGTTGACGAATGAGTTCCAAAGGGTTGCATTTACTAGGGGCAGGCACAAAGACTCCACCTAAAAGTACGTGAGTGCAAACAATCTCAGAGTAAATCAATGGTGGAGCCTCAGATGGAAGACTTGCCAGGGGAGACGCCGATCCGGGTTTTACAACACCTACTGGGATACGGGATGGGAGTGAAGGGTTGGAACCCCTTCATTCGAGTCTACGACTTTTTTGTCACTATCGGCTGCCTGGGATGGCTCGTGTGGTCTTGGAGGAAGGCATTCTTCGACTCAAGAGATGCGACCAACATCATAGCACCTTTTCTCGTCGTTCTCTATAACCTTCTCTTCCTCATGTGCTTTGCCGATGTCTATGTCCAACGTTGCCACCGGTCAGTCTATTTTTTTCGGCTTATGTTTCGACTTAGCACATGTTCGACAATTATGATAGCAAGTACACGTACGATGAGTGAAATGTCAGCCCGACTAAGGATTGCTTTAGAAAGGGAGATAATTATCAGTACTTCCATAGGCTTGTGAAAAATGACGAAAAGGAGAAAAAAATCGATAGTGCAAGGCATAAGAAAGCATATTTACCTGCTGAATATGCTCTAAAGGAGGAATTGAACTTGCGGATGCTCCATAGTACATGAAAGGGTGGATTTTCTCGTGAAATGTACTATAATTAGTACACGAAGAGAAAGTCAACTCCTACACTGTTCTCTATCACCCGCCCATCCATCGCCCATGTTATGGGTAGGGTATTAATCTAGTGCGTGCAGTACTTGCATAAAGTAGAGAATGTAACAAGAGGCGACACTCCGCTCGAATCCCTTTCATTGACAGGATCGCAATATAAATGTCACTGTGAATCCTCCACCTAGCGTGAGCGCATCAATAACTCCGCCA